CGGAAACCCCAACACCGGCTGCATCCTGCCAGCGCCGCCTGCCTGGGGGAGCCCCTTCCTCCCTGCACCCCGGTCAGCTCACCCTGCCGGGGACTGCGCGTGGGTGCCAGCCCCCCATGGCACCCGCTCACCACGCCGGCAACCAAACGGAGCCTGAGCAGCTTTGGAGCCGAGCAGCCCCGCGAGCCAGAGCAAGGCTGCGCAGAGCCAGTGGAGCTGCAGCAGCCCTCGAGGAGAGCTGCCCGCTCCCCAGGGCAGGATGGGCTCAGCGCTGTCCCCCCACCGCAGCCCCTAAGTCCCAACGACCGACCGTGCCCCGCCGCATGCGGGTAAAGCAGGATGCAGCTCCCAGCACCCTCCCGGGGGCTCCTGCTGTCCCCCCAGGTGGAGGCTGCGGCATCCAACAGAGGCAGCTCAGGACCCCCAAATTTTTTTTACAGCCTCCAGCAGGTCTCTGGGCTGGGGGGGGTTTTTCCTTCCCCAGGCGAGCCACCCCAGAGGTCGGCGTGCCCGCCCACACTTCGCACGCTGCCGCCAGTGCCAACACGCTGCTGCCCTGGATGAGAGCACCAAGGCTGCCCGGAATAGACAGAGAGCAGGACAGCAGTATGGATGGAAAACCCCAAAAAGCCATCAGCTCGTGGAGCTGCAGCCCCCCCTATCCGCTAATGGGGCAGCAGGGATCACGGCAGTACATCGACACCTTCCCGTGCCTCCTTCCAACGAGTGAGGTCACAGCTCTCCCAAACACCGGCACACCAAAGAGGCAGAGCTCTGCAGCTATGCCTCGAGAAACCCTTTGGAAACACAGCAGCCATGTATTCAGTCTCGGCCACATATTGTTTCAGCCTCTTTATGTAAAATGCTACACTAAAATAACTGCCTTCTTCCTAGAAAACAATTAGAAGAGAATCAATCAGGAGGAAAAAAATGACTGATCTTTCCCAAATCAACAGCTACGTAAAATATTTCCCCTGGGGAGAGAGAACTTACCACAACTGTGATCACAGCAAGATCTCAGTTGTCTTTTTTGTCTTTAAGACAATATTTGGCATTTAACACCCTCAAATACACCAGTTTCAGCCTCTTTTCCCTTCCAAACGCCCTCCCTTGCAAGCCTTAGCCGGGTCCCCATGACACGATCTTGCGATCCCATGGCCATCGACTGCTCCGAATCCCCAACCAGAGGGCTGGATGCCCAACAAAGAGCCCAACCAACTCCACAGCACCGAGAAGGCCCCCAAAATCCTGCCGGTCTCCTCTCCACCACGCTCCTTCCAGCATTCAAATCTCTCTGGAGAACACAGCACAGAGACTGAGGGGACACACCACCACCGGTGACACTGCATGGCATCACCCACCCGGGGAGCTGGGATATGCCTCGGGCTTTGAAACAAGCAGCTTATTTTTTTATTTTTAAACACAGCCATTGCTTGGCCCCACCACCAGCGCACACTGGACCATCATTTGGGGCTGAGTCCGTGTCCCCACCACCATGAGAGCAGCATCCCCTTTACAGGGAGGAAAAACCCGTCCCCGCAGCCGAGCACAGGCTGGGAGACCTGCTGTTGTCCGGGAAGCCTCGCCAGGAGCCGGCACCGCTTTCTCACCTCCCAGCTTTCGGCAAGGGAGACACATGGCACATGGCTTCCTGCTCTCCCTGGAGACCCGGAGTTGCCGTGTTCCTGCTCCCCAGGCCACCGCACCAGGCAGGGGGACGCACAAATAAACAACCGGGGTGTCGGCCAGTGGCTGCAGCGGAGCCCTGCGCTCGAGAGGCTCCTGGAGGGGTCGGAT